GAGCGCCAGATAGGATATCAACATTGGTTCTTCGTTGATGATGATGAGACTATTCCAGCATTGTCAATTATGATCTTTTGGTGTGCTCTTATTTGGTGAAACTCGTGATGCAATTCTGCTATTGGTTCGAGGTCACGACTATCTGGTCTCATGAGTATGATGTTGTTTGATTTTTGAAGTTCGCTATTGCTCATGTTCCTCGCATTAGGGCATTGGAACACGACCTTGGACCCCAATCTTGACCGTATCTGGCGTTCCCTGTTGATAGTCCCTACACGAGCAGGTACCCACATACGAAACATCAATCTAATACGAACTCATTGATCCCTTCAGAACCCTTCATCCAAACGCGAAAGCCTTCTCCCAATTCGAAAGAAATCAAGCCAACCAGACGTCACTCTTGCTGATCGATTTCTTCCTAATTTCGGAATAAATACAAGGTGCAGTCAAATGGGCTGAAATTATGTCGTCAGTTGCATTCAAGGGTCTGGATCATAAACCCATTCTCTTGCTTCTAAACTTCAACTTCCCAGTGGAAAAGGGACAGGGCGTCTACAAATTGAATAACTCCTTCCTCTCCACAGACCGTCTGACAGAAGCGGTCAAGTGGAACTAGTTGTTCATGAGACGAGACGAGGGTAAGAGAAGAGACAGACCCCAATGGTTTATCGACAGCGACAAAGACCTCACTCAGTTTCAGCCCAATCAAGAAGTATAGCAGGGGAACGAAAGATCAGAAGACAGGAACTCCAAACTGCCATTACACTAACCGAGCCTAACCTCGCAGTAGACCCTACCAATGACTTTTACATCGACCTGCTCGATCATCAAAGGAGAAACTCAGTGAGTGGAGAATGTGGGACTTGAGAGGCCTGCAACTACGACCCATGATGCCAGATTATTCCCTCAATGAATCAATGACAAAATTCTTCTTCTCCAAAATTAAAGCAAACGCCAGAAATAACATGATCGAGGGACTAATAGATCGAATGAATCAAGGAAGGGTCGAATCTGCATGCGAGGGAGTGGTATAAATAGCCCGGTCTTTCTATGCAGATCTCTACGAATAAAACATCCTCTCCACCCCCCTCAGCAAACCTAGCAGCTCGACAATGCATGATGTCTTACCTGGACCAGACTAATATGTCGAAACAGTTGGGAGGCCTGGATAGGCCAATCACCAAGGGGGAACTTCAAGTAGCCCTAAGTCAAATGGGTAGCGAGAAGGCTTCTGGCATCGATGGCCTATCAAAAGAATTTTGGGTACACTTCTGGCCTACACTAGAGGACAATTTCCTGAACTTCTTCAACGGCAGCAAGGACAGGGGAGGACTAGAGTATCATCTCATTACTGCACAAGGCAGGGGATAGAGAAGATCTGAAGAACTACAGACCCATCTCCCCACTAACAACCCCCTACAAAATTTTGGTTAAAGTGTTGGCAAATAGGATCATAAACCTCACCGACTAATGCTTCCACATTGACCAAGAAGGCTTCATTCCAAGGCGGTACATTCTCGACTATGTGATGACCTTGAATGAGGCAGCAAAGAAGATCATTGAGAACCGAAGGGAAGCTGCAATCCTCTTCTTCGTTTTCAAGAAAGCTGTTACGATCCTGGCCAATTTGAAGTGCAAAATTCAGGAGAAAGCACAATGCTGTCCAATTTCAAAAGAAATGAATGAACTTGAGAGGAGAGAGAGATAAAGAGGAAAAAGAAGAAAAAAGAAAAAAGAAAGAAAGAAGAAGAAGAAGGTGTACATCAGCGAAAGACCAATGATAATTCCCCCTTCTTCTCGCAAACCAAACTCCTCCTCCTTTCTCCTCCTCTCTTATTCAAACAATAAATAGCAATAATAGTGATGAATGGCAGAACCAGAATCAATGTACAAAACCCACTTCTGCTGCTTGGCATAACTAGAGGTCCACCATAGCCATGGCCTCCATCTTGATGGTGACTAGCCGACGGCACCACCCCTCAACCAGACAACAATCCCACACCCCTATGGTGGTCTACAGGCGAACAAGCACTCCGCTACTTGGGCATCATGGTGAACAAGGACGGCACATGGCCAGGCGTGAGACAAAATCTAATTGCTAGGGCAATAGCTCATCTAGCCCCATGCAAGAATGCTCAGGCGTCACTGATCAGTGGAGCGCTAATCATAAACACGGCTATCTTCTCCACACTGTGGTACATGGCTGCCAGCTGGGCCCCCCACGATGATGACCTGAAGAATCTCAAGGCCAGAGTCAGGTGCTATCTATGGACTGGGGATCCTAACTGTACCACCTGCATTAACAAAGTGGCATGGCATTACATCACCAGGAAACCACAGGAAGGAGGCGTGGGCTTATTAGACCCAAAACAAGAAGCAATCACACTCCAGATGAAATGGATAATCAAATTCTAACCAGACAGTGCCTCCCTTGGACTAAAATGTCCCTGGATAGCATAAGGAACCTAGCACCTGTTAGGTCCCCCCCTAACATGAGTGGCCTCTTCTGGATAATGGGCAAAGAGTCGTCAATTCGAACAGGCAGGCCGCGTAGCAGGACTCGGCCACAATCATCGGATCAGGCCACTGCCACACCAAACTCATATTGGACGCCTACCCTGAAAGTGTGGCGCCGACTCATGCCGAATAAGCACGGTGCCCCCAAAAATAAGGAAGAAGTATGCAGACAACCCTATTCTGCAATCCTTGGATCAAGGATGCGGAGCGCAACCCTTGGTCACTGCGCGCCAAGGACAGGAGGTGGCTATCATGCATGGGTAGAAAAAGGAGTTTGGCAGATTAAACACTTATGGTTAGAGGAACGGAGGGAGTGGATGAGTTCCCCTGAAGGGGTGTCACTCTCTAGAAGCCAACATAGCCCTGATACGACAAAGCATTCCACAACACTGGATAGCGCTTCTAAGATAAGAGTGCTCATGGAAAGCCGGGGAATGGGGCCTACTCATCTATCAAACCCCGCCCCTGTGAGCATACCGATTCATCAAGCGCCTAGAAGGAGCCAACTATCAGTCCAAATTCGTCCAATACCCAATCTCCAATCACAACCTACAGGAACTAGTAATCCTAAACGCGGTACCTCAAACCGAGATCCCAGAGACCTTGCTACTCAGGAAAGTCAGGGTCTCACAAACTAAACCATGGCTAGTCTTCCAACCAGAACTTAAGAGATTTGGAATTCGACGCCAAGGAATGGATGTGGAATCAAGATAATACAAGTAAGACAAGAACGATATTTGGATATGATGTGAAATTCGGGTACGACCTCGTCCTACGGACAGTTGATCCAAACTCCGGACTAATTGAGAGATGGAGGAAGATCCTGAGTCTGAACTCGACAGTCTCCTTCACCATTTGTGGGCAAAGTACCTTCCCATCTGACCGGTAAGAATCCGCAGCATGCAATGGCTCGTAGCCCACATGGCTCTGCCGGTCAACCAGTGGCTCCATAAAATGAGAAAACAATCGGATCCCATCATCCCAATAGCTCAGAACTATGCATAACGTGGAATACCAGTACACCAGAAGATATCCCTCACTCTCTCCTCTTCTGCCCTGAAGCAGCCTGGATCTGGAACAAGATCGGGGCCCTATGGCCCACTCTCTTCTCTTCACCATCCCCCAGCAATACCCCAATAAATTCTCTGCTTCTCACTAACTCCCCCAGAAGCCTCAAAGGCAGCAAGGATATCTGGTTCAAGTTGCTCAGGAGGTTGGCACTCTGGGTCATCTGGAAACGCAGATGCACACAGACAATCGAGGGACATAAGTGGCAAGAGCGGAAATGTGGACCCTCCTGAGAATGGTGGAAACTGAAATCCAGAGCAGTTGGCAAAAGTGGCCACTCCAACAATGCACAGGCCAGAAAAGCACGCAATCAAGAGACACACATTCTAGAGGGACTGGTTAATACGGGGCAAGATCGGCACCATTACAGACAACAGGCTGGTTTGGAAGAAATGGTATCAATCAGAGCCGCCATTATAGGTGCCACCAAGAAGATTATGACAGCGTAACAGCAGGATTAAGGCAGAACTCACTATTCTTGCTAAGTCGAGCTGTATCAGACAGGACCCAAAACAGGGCCTGAGAGGAAGAGTAGGGAAGGGCAAGCTGACAGTCAATCCTCCTCAAAGGAGTAATGAATGCTGATCAGACATCCTTCGGCCAAACGGAAGGATGCATGAGGGTGTTCACCATGTATTTGATTCTTGACTTGCCAGGGGAATAGGAACCGGACTGATGCTCCACAGAATGGATAAGGAGCCAGGACCATAAGGACCAGTTAAAATAAAAAGAAAGAAAGAAAAAAAAGTCTGTGTCTGTGTTTTTCAAGCTTTGTGAGAGTCATGTCTGTGTGTGTTTTTCAAGAGCGTAACGGTTCTCTCTTTTTCAGTCGCATCACTCTGTACGTCTGCATCCTGCTTCGTGCTCTTCTGTTCTCTCCGCCCTCTGCGGGCAACTTCCTACCATGTACAGCCGTACCCGCTCCACCACGGCTTGCGATGACTTGTATCTCCAAAAGTAGCCAGCAGCTCATGAAGTCCAAAAGCAAGCAAGGACTGAGTGAGATGCACTAACGACCTCTGATTTTCTGAGGTTTCTGAAACGAGGTTGAAAGCTCTTTGATCATTCACTTCTGTTGCTGTTTGATAAAAAATTCCAGTGCACTAGACATAATCTTTGTGGCTCGTGTCTGTATGTGTAATCATGATGCTGAATGTGAAAAGTATTTTGTACAGTAGGGAGCTAGAGCTCCCTGGAAGAGGATAATCTATCTTTTTGAGATAATATTTTGAACATTCCTCAATTGTTCTTCTGTGTGATAAATTTCACTGTCCTTTTCTGAAATATTTTAGGAACTAGAGCCCGCAAGCACATGTTTTTACTCAGAAGGTTTGCATTTGCTGCATTCATTCACCACAAACTTACTGGGTGTTTTGTCAACTCTCCTTTTCATCTATTCGGATTGCAATATGCAGACCCATGCTCAGATGCATATGATGAACCAACCTGCTTGACATCGACGGCTTGCAGTTGGAGTGGAAACCAGTGCTATTCCAGTGAGACTCCATGACTTAACGCGGGTTTAGCCTCTTTCTCCTCAACCCGTTGATTCATATGCATTCTTCTTCTACAAAAGTTTCTCTATCTCGTACCCTAGTCATATTCAAGAAGTTTCAGGATGATAGCAAAACAGATTCAATACAAAAAAGAAAAGGAGCTTCTGGAGAACTTGCAAGCAGGAAAACATAAACAAGTTATGGGGTATTGTATGTGAGAGCTGAAATAAAGCTCTTTGATGTAACGTGATTGATCAAGATTCTCACACAATGCAACTGTCCATGGATTCACTGCTTTTTTTTTTTTTTTTTTTTTTTAATATAAACAGGTCCTTATGGCCCTGGCTCCATTTCCATTCTGGGGAGCATGTGATAAGCCAGGATCCGTACTCGGCGGCTTCCCGTACCCTTAGGGGAAAATCCCAGGTAACACCCCGAAGTACAGATTCAAGATAATAGGGAAGAACGGGGTTTCATTTCTTTTTCTTTTTCTTTCTTTTCCCTTTACGAAAAAAGGGACAGAGTAGAAAACTTAATTCGGGTCTCGCATGGCCGGTTAGCGGCCGCGCCAAGAAATTCAAGAAACAGTTGGGAATTAGCGGGAGTAGAAATTTTGAAATTTTGCGCGCACGGCTGTTTTTCAAATTTTTGCGCGCCACGTAAATCCGTTCACCCACTCTGCATCCCCGCACCATCTTCGTTTCTTGCTGCGCATTCCCTTCCTGCATGCCTCTTCGTCTTCCCTCTAAGCGAAGTCCGATCCCTTCCTTCCCCTTTCCCTGCGAACGATTGGCTGTCTGATTGGGATGGTCGGGGCCATGTGGTGATAGCGGGAAGCACACCCCACTTGGATGGCCACCCCAATCATGCAGATCATTCGACTCGCCTCCCTCAATCCTTTTGGAACCTCTGCCCTTCGTCTGTCCTGCTCATCTACACCCCGTGCTTCGCGTAGCCTCTCCGCCGCCTTCCACGCTATAAATTCTCGCAACCCGTTCCTCTCGCTCTCTTTGATCTCAGCTGCAAGCTGTGCAAGCTATGCGCGAAATCCGCGGCACCGGAAAGGCTCGACGTGCCCCTTGATGGGCGGAGTGACGGCGGGTGGCGGAGTTAGCGATAGACTTGGGGTAAGGCAGTCAGAGGGACTGAGCGGTGGTGGAGATCAGATGCCGGCAGTGGCAGGGCCTTGTGGCTATGGTTGTCGGTGGTTTTGACAGATTGGAGGCTGGCCCCTGAGCGGCCAGTCGTGAGAATTCTGTATACTAAGAACGTGCTTTTTCTCCATTGCTGCTTTGTCCCCATGTGATGTGTGCAAGGTCCCAATGTGTGGGTAATCAGTTGTATGCATTATCGGGTATGGAAGTCTATGGATGTTGAATGTCTAATTGAGGGCTCTATGAGTAGGCGTGTGTGTATGCGCCCCCAGGCCGGATGATAAGTACCGAGTGTCAATTGCTTGCATGAGTGCATGATTGCATCGTTCCTTCCTCCTTTCATTCGCCCTTAATCCTGCGCGGGTGTGCAGGATACACGCCAACCTCCTTCCATTGTCCCTCTCTCTCATCGTGCGCAGGTCGGGACCCCGGGGGAGACGAATAATCTCGGAAAGATCGGTCGTTCACATCCCCGCGAAGCGGCCGACCTCTTTGCGCCCACCCCAGGATCCCCGACACCGCGTTCGGGTTGATGCCACAGAGAGAGACAGAGAAAGAGAGCTAGGCGCATCCTTTTCGGTGGTACTCGTTGTTTTTTGCATGGAGTCAGGTCTAGTCTCAACGGACGGGAGCGCGAGCCGTGGCCCGAGCTCGAACTTTGTCCCTGAACGTCGCAGCGCTCTTCCGCCCTTCCCGAACGCAGATGACGATAGCGTATACTGCGATGCGGCCGTGCAGAGCATACTGCGGCACACTGAGCCAATCCACCTTTACAACCCAACCTGGGCGTGCCACATAGGAGGGAGTGGGTTCGTGCTGATTGAGCGGTTTTCTTCCCCTCCCTTAATCCTTTCCTACACTGACCTCACACTGTTACCCTGGTCAGCCGTGCACGCACCGTGGCGGCCTCTGCTTAATTGCCATTGGTGTCGCCAGGGAGACTCGTGTTCGTGGCGACGATTAGTCTTGGGGTAGGAAGGGGCCACCCGATTCCCCGAACTCTCCTGCAATGCGGGCGCGCTCCCTGCCCATTTTCGAACTTGGGTTCCCTCGACCTGCCCAACCCTGGGCAGCCTCCTGCCGTGCCGCCCGCACGGGCTCGACGAATCGGACAAAGAAGCCTGAAACCCGATTCCGGGGCTCCCGCCCCCAAAGGCTGTGCGAGTCAGGTGCCTCGGGGAAAGGAACCCTGTCCCCGTCAATTTCTTTCCTCTTCTCACCTCCTCTCGTTTTCTTTTGTGTGACGAAGGTCGTGCTGTAAGGCACAGTTCCCCCGTCATTCGCCCCCAGCGACAGTTCAAACCCCTGACTAGGCACCTCGGCCTGGCGCAAGAATCTCTCGTTTCATCCGGGCGACTCAACCCCCACGGCCAAAAATCCTCGGCCACACCCCTAACTACTCTGATCGGCGACCAACGTACGGGGCGCTGCGCAGGGCGTGAGGTTGCGCATCACAACATCAGTCCGGTTCCTTTTCCACCAGCAAGTCAGAATAAAATATTACATCATGAAACACACTCACGCTTCCTTCCGTCTAGCCGAAGGAACCCTGACCAGCATTGATTACTCCTGCAGAATGGAGGATTGACTGTCAACTTGCCTTCCAACTTTCCTCTCAGGTCCATTGCACAAACCTGTCGGATGATTAATAAAGAGCAAGAAAGGTAAGAGAAGCTACGACAGTTATAGTCCCGGAATTTGCCCTTCAATATTATGTGACCTGTGATGGATCTTGTCCTTCTGCTGGCTGGAATCTCCGTCTTCTCCACCCTACTTCTGAGTTGTGCCAGTCTTTCCATCATATGTGAGAGACATTTATCTCTGCCACTTTGCCCCTTGCAAGCCACACCTTAGTGAATGTTGTCTTGATTCTTCTTTGTTGCTCTTCATTATCTGGCATGGACTGTCTTGTCTTGTGCCATTTACAAAGGATCTCCACCTGAATCAAAGTCCTTGTCTCCGCCCAAACCTTCTCCCTTGGAGTTGAGAGCCCCTCAATGGTTCTACAGCACCTTTCCTTCCAGATGGACCAAAGCGTTACCTTTCTGATCATTCCAAACCACGTTTTCTCTGTCTTGTCGAATTGAGCTGGGATGTTAGTCCATAAGAGGAGTTGGATGGGGTGTTCAGGGAGGGGAGTCGAGAAGTGGGAGTCCCAGAGATTGGAGGCCCTCGCCCAATATTCGGTTGCCTCTCTACATCGTATCAGGCAATGCAGCATATCTTCTGGTTCATTTTCTGAACATACTGCACATAAATCTGAACTGTTAGGGTCATTCTTGCTTCTTCTGATGTGTAGCCACTGGTTAACTGGTAGAGCTACGTATGAGATCAGCCATTGGAGGCTTGTGATTTTGACTGGACGAATTGACTTGAATTTTTTCCATGGTATTTGTGGTATCTGATTAGCATCCTGACCTACTAACTTCTGCCATTTGTTCTTGATCGTTGGGTCACGATTCTTTGTTCTGAGGAGTAGGTTGTAACCCAGTTTGACTGTGTATTCTTGAATGGAAACATTAGTTTTGAGGCTTCTATTTCTGTCTGGTGTCTAAGCCCGCTCTGTTGGATCAAATTCCAAGTCTTGAATCACCGTATCCATTTTGAAGATTGTTTTTGGCCATGACCCCAATACTCTGACTTTTCTGAGTACACAAAGGTTTAGGACTGTTTTTTCCACCTCTTTATTCATGATAGAAGGGCCTTGCGTGGAGTGGGTAATTGGGATGGAGGTGAACACTGACAGGGTATCCGACCCTTGCTGTTTATGGGAGAATTGATAGTCCCTTGTGGGGGTTAAATCCTGCACCCTCACTCCCCATTCACCTGATTTCCAAGTTGAGCCTTCGCTCAACAACTCCTTCCAGCCTTCCGGGATGCAGTTGATAATGGATTGTAGATCTCGTCTCGTCGGTGACATCCTTTGAGCTGGGAGGCAAGTTCCTGTTCTATCACCCAATCCTTTTTCTCCTCGTTCCATAGATGGCTCACCTTCCAAACTCCATGTTTGATCCATGAAAGCCATCTCCTTCCTCTAGGCTTAAGGGATAGTTGGTGGTCACTTTCATCCCTCACCCACGGATTACCAAACAGGGGTTGCCTCAGTATCTCTTCCTTGAATTTGGGTCTATCCACTTTCTTTGGCATGACTTCCCGCCATATCCGCAGCAACGCAGTCCAATATGGTGTAGGGGGTCTGGCTTTATTTGGATCGGTTCCTCTTCGTTGATTTTTGCGCCCTGTACTTGGACTCCATTCCTTGGTCATTACCCAGAACAGGCCGAACATATTTGCTGGTGTGGCTGTAGGTGCTAAGCCCTTGATGTTATCCAAGGCCAGTTTATTCCATGTCGTACCAGGTTTAGTTAGTAGTTTGACTGTCCATTTAACTTCTAAGGCTTTGGTTTCTTGTTTGGGGTCTATGATACCAAGACCTCCCTCGGTTGGTTTCCTTGTGTTGTAATGCCACGCTATCTTCGGTATGCAATTCTCTTTGTTGGGGTCACCCGACCACAAGTATGTTCTTGCTTTGCGGTTAAGTTCCTTGATTGTATGGTCCGAAACTGTCCAGATTGACGCTATGTACCACATCATTGAAAAAATAGATGTGTTGATGGCTAATGCACGCCCCAACAATGATGTGAATGTATTACCCCATCTACCCAGTTTGTTAATTATCTCCATCATTGGGGTTATGGGGAAGAGGCAGGGGTACTATCATAGTGTAGACGTCCTAGGAGGGGGCCTCTGGTCGCTTGCATCCATCTCTGTCGACGCATCACCCGACGGGTCCTGAAGCACCGTGGTAAGAGAATCATCTAGCTTATACTCCCCCACACTTCCATA